TTATTGGGCCCAAGATATATCATGTTTACAGACGTGTTTTCTCACCTAATTACTTCTTTCTCTTTCTCTTTTTTTTTTGTTGTTGTTGTTCAAGTACAGTTGTCTCCATTTTCCCCCGCCACTCCCCCACCCCACCCCAGACATCCCCACCTCCTACCCTCGATCCTACCACTTTTTGGCTTTGTCCATGTGTCCTTTATACAGGTTCCTGACAACCTTTCCCCCTTTTTACCCATTATCATCAGCCCTCACACTGAGGATTCTCCAGCCCTCTTAACGAAAACATTGCTAGCTATCGTCTCTGCTACAGTTTTTCAACTGTGCAGATTAAATATGTTGTGGAAAGTAGGCTGAGCTTTAGTGCCTTTTGTGAAGCTGGAAGTAAAAACTATTAAATGAAGCTTGCAATTATCCCTATTAAAATAGTTTACATGACTGTTAATCAAATAAACATACACACACACACACACACACACACACACACAAACTACTGAAAATTTTATCTCACATGTCCTGAAAAAAAAGCGTTGAAATTGGTAGCCACACTTTGCTTTTCTAATCCTAAATATGCATACACATACATACAGCAGTAATGGACACAGTAGAACTCAGGTTACTAAAAATTATTCTTGACTTCTTTACTTTGATTGGGAGAGAGGGCACAAACCATGTAGAAATTTCATTTCTTGGCTTGAATGTTTTCCGCATGCATAGCTTAGAATTCAGCTGCCTCAGTCTGTGGCTCCAGAGATCACATGGGTAACATGTGAATGGAAATAAACCCTATAGGTAAAAGAGAGAGGAATTTGGATAGAGATCAAAGATTAGCTTCATTCCATTCTCTCCTTCTACTTTTTACTATCCCATCTAAGTTTGGTATTTTATGGCCCTTTTTCTTTTATTCCCAGAGGAAAGAGTGAATTTAAATCAGATCTGAGACTTTTTCACTCCATTTTGTTTTTAAATCCATGTGATTGGATCTGCTCAGTAGTGACTTTAGATAATTGAATTCCTGATTGCTAGGATCCTTCAGTACGAAAGATATAGTGTTCTGGCTTGATTCATTATTATATCTTTTTGAGTTATTACTGTAGCCTGGTTTAGGGTATAGGAAAAGTTACTCATGATATTTAGCAGCATGATTACCAGAAAAATTTGCCTATGAGTATTGTTTGTTTTTTTATCTTCTAGAGTGGAACTGATTATTATATGCTATTAACCTTGACTTAGGCCAAGAACATTTCTAAGCTTTAGGAATCAGATCTTTGCCTTATACATTTTCCAAAGCTTAACTATTCTTTTTATAGTAATCAGATAAGAAGGTGAAGTTTAGTGTGGTCAGTCTCATTCCTAAGTGGCTGTGGAAAAGATTCTTATTGATATCAAAAGAGGTCCATAGGAAGTGAGAAGGTTGCAGTACTTGAAATAACTTGTTACCTGATTTTTAAATCACTTGTAGAATATTTTGCTAACTATTTAGAAACATAGGATAATTATAAAGTGACTATTTTGACTTCCATCAGAATAATAGCTAAGTGAATAGACTCAACACACTGAAGTGCTTCAAGGCAGTGGGGAAATGAACACATCTTGTTCATGGCTAGCCTCAAGCGCCAGACTGGAGCTAGTTTATTGGTTTATTTCTGGTTTATTGGATGGATATTTCTACACATGCCAAGGATTAAGACAATATTATTTAATTGTCCCAAAATGGAAGCAACTTAGTTTAGTTGAGGGGGGTGGTGGTTCTCATTGTTTGACAAATTTTATAGACTTTCATTTAGTTCTTCTAACTCTATTCCAAGAATTTTCATTCTTTTCAAACAAAGACCCCAAGCCCTAAGAGAGGACCGGAGGTTGGGTTTGAATACAGCCTAGGTACACTTGCAGGATACAGACCATGCATTTCTATATATAAGGTTATTCTTTTAATTTTCATAGATGTAGAAATATTCTTAATAGTATAAATATTGTATAAAAAGGTAAAATAAGATAATCTTATACTTTAGAATGACTAGTGCAAGAAATTAAAAATTGGAATTAATGTAAACATTGAAAAATAAATAACTATAGACACAAAGAAGATTATTAGTTTGTAGGATTGGTGGGGTAGAGAGGAGGAGTAAATAGGTGGAGGCCAGGGGACTTGTAGGGTAGTGAAGCTGTTTCATATGATAATAAAATGATGGACTCATGATAGTATGCATTTGTCAAAACCTGTAGAACCATACAACAGAATGAATCCTAACCATAGACTTTTGTTAACAATAATGTATCAATATCGGCTTATCAGTTCTAAGAAATATACCACGTGGATACAAGATGCTAAAACAAGAAATGACATTGAAGGGATGGAATGGTGTTTTGGGAACTCTGTACTTTTTGCTTACTTTTTCTGTAAACCCCAAACTGCTTTAAAAATAAAATCTATTAATTATTTTAAAATATAATGGATTAAAAAATTAAATGTTTATTTTCTGCAAGTTCTTAAAGCATATTAAAAACCAAAATGCCATATTGAATACATGGTTTTATTTATTTTCTTTTTAAAAAATCATTTATTTATTTATAGATTTTATCTATTTATTTTTAGATAGAGGGGAAGGGAGGGAGAGGGGAGAGAAACATGAATGTATGGTTGCCTCTCCCACATTCCCTACTGGGGACCTGGCCCGCAACCCAGGCATGTGCCCTGACTGGGAATTGAACCAATGATTTTTCATTTCGCAGTCCAGCGCTCAATCCACTGAGCCACACCAGCCTGGGTGGTTTTATTTATTTTCATTCTTTTTTATCTTTTGCAATTACCCCTGAAATTTGGCAGGTTGAATGAAATCTTAGCTTTTTAAGATGTTGAATGAGACACATTTACATTTGGCAATATGAAGGACTACACATCCTGCCTGAAATACTCCTACATGAAAATATCAAAACTACTCTTCTGAGTTTATGAATGACTTCTAACATGATGAAAGAACATGAGCAAATGCTAGCCTTGTTGGCTAGAGCTTGAATCTTACACACTGCTACATACACACTGCTACATACTGCTACATACAGGAAAGAGAGTCAAAGCCTTGTATCCATGTTGGGTAGGGTTTTGATTGGAGACCAGAAGGAAGAAGGAATGTCAAAGGGCCAAATCTAAGAAAAAGAATGAATAGGAGAAAAGGAGATACTCCTGAATAAAACAATAAATCTGTCTCAGCTATGGCTATCAATAGAATTTCAAAGGAATGTTTAAAAAGGGAAAAAAAGTGAATTTCTTTTCCATAAGATTTTGTAATCAAATTTGGGGGCCCACGTTTGCAATTAACAAATAGCCCTTCAATCTAACAATTTAAAATGGATTCTAGTTGGTAGTGTCCCAGACATCCAGCACAGGTGAACAAAATCACACTCATCCTAGGTTTCAAAAATAAATATCTCATTCAATTCAGGCTTCAAATACTTCTCACATATTAAGTTTCAATGAATATGAGCTCAAAAAATTCAAGAAACACAGGAAAATTAAGATAATCATGATGGTTAATCAGAAGAAACAATAAACACTAAAACTAAATGATAAGGACTTCAAATAGCAAATACAGAATATAAAATAATTACATCTAAAGGAAGAAACAAAAACATAACCAATGAGTGGGAAACTATAAAAATGACTAGAAAGATATAAAATATAACCAAGTGGAACATCTAAAATTGAACAATATAGTGACTGAAATGAAAATATCAGTAAAAGTGACAAACAGCAGATTAGACACATCTGGAGAACAAGTCTGGATGATAGATCTAAATCAAAAGAATACATAATGCAGGACAAAGAGGTACATAGAAAATATGAAAGAAAACTTAGAGACACTGAGGATATAATGACAATGAACATATATGTCTAATTAGAGCTGCAAATAAGAAAATGGAGATAATTAAAACTTTATTTCAATAAATTCAAACACTTAAATTAAAAAAATAAATTTCTATGCAACTATAACTTTGGGAAATATTGAAAGCATTAGTAGTCCTATAATCCCTAAAGAAATTCCATCAACAGTTTAAAATCATTCTCAGAGAAAATCCAAGACTCAAATGGTTTTGCAGAGGATTTCTACACACCATTCTATAGTCAGCCAATGGGAAAAGAGAATCTCAACCAGGTCAAAGGTCAATGTGATCAGTACAAGAATGGGAAATATTAGATTAAGCCTGTTCATGAACATAGATGAAAAAAACCCTAAACAAAACATTAGTGAAACAAATCCAGCTGTGTGTAAAAAGGGTAATACATCACAAGCAAACATTTTAATCCATAAATTCAACATGGGTTAATATCACCTCACACTACAGAATTATAGGAGAAAACCCATCTTCTTAATGTAAAGAAGCCATTTAATTAAATCCAACATCTATTTGTAATAAAATCTAATTCCAAGTATAGAAATAGAAAGGTCCCTGCTTGTACTAAATGAGAACCCTGTAACAAGCCATTATTCACCTACCCCCTTGGCCAAACACACCAAATGTTGTGAGCGTTGTATCTAAACCGGAATTCTTACATACTTGTAAAAGTCTAATGTGATATTAATTTGAGGTGATACATAGAAAATTTCCTTTATAATAAAGATAAAGGCAGATGATGGAGACAGGAAACAAATGTCAAGTGGATGGCATTGTTTACCTTATTAACACTGGCCATATACAATTTTTTTCTTCCAGGTACATATAGAATGTTTTGTGAATGTTCTATGCCATGCTTAGAGCCACATTGACTGATGCAAATCTTGGTTTTGATACTTCTTAGCTATTAGGGTCTTGAGTTTTGGTTTTCTCATATGTGAATAAAGACACTAGGACCTAATTTTTCAAGTTACTGTGAGTATTGAATGAGTTAGCACATGGAGAATGCTGAGAAAGGACATACAAAAAGTGAAATGCTCTATTAATATTAAATTCTACAGGAAGTTCTCTCTTGATTTAATACTTTGAATTTTTTTGTATTATGGTAGGCTTTGGTCATTTGACGAAGCAATTGATGACACTGGCTGATGGACGTGTGGTGTTGGCTCTAGAAGGAGGACATGACCTCACAGCCATCTGTGATGCATCAGAAGCTTGTGTGAATGCCCTTCTTGGAAATGAGGTAAAAACAAAAAAAACACGAACTAAAAGTGCAAAAGAGCAAGGGTCAAGGACAAGGAATATATGCATGCATATTTTTGTCTTTTTAAAAAATTTCATGTATGCAGCACAGTGTTGCTCTTACAATTCTAAGAAAGAAGATAAGCCTTAGGTAAGGGAAATTTACATGTTCTCATGTGATATGCAGTAACTTTTGCCCCATTATAAAATCTACATTGCACCATCCTCAATCAACTTACTGGCAGAACTCAATAAATAAGATAACCCTTGGGAAGAGAAATGCTCTGCATATTGACCTCACTAATGAACATTGAAAAAGAGATAACTCAGGGCCCTGGCTGGTGTAGCTCAGTGGATTGAGCACAGGCCTATGAACCAGAGGATCCCAGTTCAATTCCCAGTCAGGGCACATGCCTGGGTTGCAGGCCAATTCCCAGCAGGGGACGCACCAAAGGCAACCATACATTGATGTTTCTCCTCCTCTCTCCTTCCCCTCTAAAGATAAATAAATAAAATCTTGGAAAATTTTTTTTAAAAAAGAGATAACTCAAAGAAACTTTGACACTTTCAGTAGGATTATGTTGCTTCATAAGGGAAAAGGATTTTTAAAAAAAAGTTTAGCTTTATTAAGGTATAATTGACAAATAAAATTGTAACACATTTAAAGTGTATAATATACATTATGAAATGATTTTCAACATTAAGTTAATTTCACACATTCATCATCTCGTGTAATTACTTTTTGTTTTGGGTTTTTTGGTTTTGGTTTTTGTTTCTTGGTGAGAACAGTTTAGTTCTACTCTCTCAGCAAATTCCCATTATACGATACAGTATTATCAACTATAGTCACCATGTTCTTCTACATGAGATCCTCAAGCCTTATTTATCTTACAACTGAATGTTTAAACATTTTTGCCAACCTTTCCCTATCTCCACCTCCCACCACCACCACCACAGCCCACACCCGCTCCCCTTCTCCCACTGCCCCGGTGACCACCATTCTACCCTTTGTTTCTCCCAGTTTGATTCTTTTTTTCTTTTTTGGTTTTGCATAAGTGACACCATGCAATATTTTTTCTTCTTTCTTTCTCTGTCTGGCCTTTTTCACTTATCATAATGCCTTCCAAGATGTTGCAAATGACAAGATTTCATCCATGTTGTTGTAAATGACAAGATTTCCCTCTTTTTTAAGGCCGAATAATATTCACATATCTATATATTTACATATCAACATGTTGATATGTAGACATATCATGTTTTCTTTATCTATTCGTCTGTCAGTGGACATTTATATTGTAGTGATTTTATTTCCTTTCAATATTACCCAGAAGTGGGATTGCTGGGTCATACGGTATTTCTATTTTTAGTATTTTAAAGAACCTCCTACTGTTTATCAAGTGGCTGTACTCAGTATACTGTCCCATGAGCAGTACACAAGTGTTCCCTTTTTTCCACATTCTCGCCAGCATTTATTTTTCTTTTTGGTAATGCACATCCTAACAATGTATGAGAGAATGGCTGATCATGGTTTTGACTCACATTTCCTGATGATAATTGATGTTGAAACAACAGAATTAAATCAAGAAAATACAGAGGGGAAATACATATTAACAATGTATTTCTTTAATAAATTCATTTTTCAATGCGAATCACAGATCATAATAAATTATAAAAATTATAATAATTGATGTTGAGCGTCTTTTCATGTGCTGTTGGACATTTGTAAGTCTTCTTTGGAAAATCATCTATTTGGATTTTGGATTCAGAACCCTTTGCCCATTTTTAACTGTTTTTTTATTTATTTAGGCTATTAAGTCATATGAGTTCCTGATATGCTTTAGATTTTAACCCCTTATTGGATACATGGTTTACAAATATTTTCTCCTATTCCACAGCTACCTTTTCATTTTGAGGATTTCCTTTGCTGTGCAGAACCTTTTTGTTACATGTGGTCCTACTTATTTATTTTTCCTTTTGTTGCCTTTGCTTTTGGTACCTAATCCAAAAAACTATAACCAAAGCCAAAGTCAAGGAGCTTATCTGCTGTGTTTTTTTTTAAGAGTCTTATGATTCCAAGTCTTACATTTACATTTTGATCAATTTTGAATTTATTTTTCTGTATAATGTAACATAGGGGTTTACTTTCATTCCATTGCAAAAGGCTAATTAGTTTCACTAATGCCTTTTATTGAAAAGACTGCCTTTCCCCACTGTATATTCCTGGTTCCTTTGTTGAAAAGCAGTTGACCTTATATGCATGTATTTATTTCTGGGTTCTCTTTTCTGTTCCATTAATCTATGTGTCTGCTTTGAATGCCCATGTCACACTGTGTTGATTATTGTAGTGTAGTTTTAGATCAGGAAGAGTGATATCTGCAGCATTATTCTTCTTTCTCAAGACTGCTCTGGCTATTTGGGGTATATTGTGGTTTCAGATAAGTTTCAGGACTTTTTTTCTATTTCTATAAAAAGTGCCTTTCAATAGGTATTACATTGAATCTATAGATCATTTTGGATGATATGAATGTTTTAAAATATTAAGTCTTCTGAGCCATGAACATGAAATATTTTCCACTTAAAGTTGATAAAATTTATTAATGAAGCCATAAGATTCTGGATTTTTCTTTGTTGGGAGATCTATTATTACTGATTCAGTCTCCTTATTAGCAATTGGTCTGTTCTGATTTTCTAGATTTCCTGATTCATTTTGGTAGATTTGATGTTTCTAAGAACTTATCCATTTCTTCTTTTTTTTTTTTTAAATATTTTATTTATTTATCTTCAGAGGGAAAGGGAAGGAGAGAGGGAGAGAAACATCAATGTATGGTTGCCTTTTGTGCGTCCCCTGCTGGGAACTGGCCTGCAGGGAACTGGTCTGCAACCCAGGCATGTGCCCTGACTGGGAATCGAACCGCGATTGTCTGGTTCGCAGGCCCGTGCTCAATCCACTGAGCTACACCAGCCAGGCCATTTCTTCTACATTATCTAACATGTTAGCATTTAATTCTTCATAGCAGTTTTATTATCATTTGTAATTCTCTGTTATCAGTTGTCATGCCCTCTTTCATTTTTTTTTTGATTAATGAAATCAGTTAATAAAATTGAGGCTTCTCCTTTTTCTCTTGTTCTTGGTAAGGTTTGTCAGTTTTGTTTTTCCTTTTATAAAACCACTTCTCAGTTTCATAGATCTTTTATTGTGTTTTTAGTTTCTATTTTATTTTTTCTACTCTGACCTTTATTTATTTCCTTCTGCTACCTTGGGCTTAGTTTACTCTCCTTTGTGTAGTTTCTTGAGGCATAAAATTAGGTTGTTTGTATAATATCTTTCCTTTTTTAATAATTAATTTTCCAATTATAGTTGACATTTTCAGGTGTACAAAATAGTGATTAGACATTTATTCAGCTTAGAAAATGATCTCACCATTTAGTACCCATCTGACACCATACATAGTTATTACCTTATTGACTGTATTCCTTTACTGTAACTTACATCCCCATGACTATTTTTATAACTGACAATTTGTACTTCTAATCCCTTCTACCTTTTTCATTCATCCTTCCAAACATCTTTCCATCCTCTGACCATCAATTTGCTCTCTATGTCTATGAGTTCTGTTTCCTAATGTAGGCATTTATTATGATCAACTTTCCTCCAAGAACTGCTTTTGCTGCATCCCATAAATTGTGGTATGCTGTGTTTCCATTTTTATTTATCTCAATATTTTTAGGTTTTTTGTTTTGATTTATTGTTTTGCCCATTGGCTGTTCAGGAGCATACTATTAAATTGCCATGTATGTGTAACGTTTTAAGTATTCTTCTTGTAATTCATTTCTAGTTTCATGCCATTGTAGTTGGAAAAAAATGCCTGGGATGGTTTTAATCTTTCTAAATTTGCTAGGACTGGTTTTGTGGCCTCATACATGATCTATGTGGAGAATGTTCTGTGTGTGCTTGAGAAGAATGTACAATCTGTTGCCACTGGATGGAATGCCCTGTGTGTGTCTGTTAGCTTCATATGATCTAATGGACAGTTTAAATCTAGTGTTTCCTTAGGGCTTTTTATGTCTAGATGATCTATCAGTTGTTGAAAATGGGTTATTAATGTCCCCTACTACTACTGTAATTTTTTTCTATTTCTCCCTTTAGATGTGTTAATATTTGCTTTGTAAATTAAATTATTCTTATGTTAGACATATTTACAGTTGTTCTACCTGCTTGATGAATTGACCACTTTATCATTATATAATTTCTTTGTCTCTAATTATAGTTTTTGGCTTGAAGTTCATTTTTTCTCATATACCTAACTCTGCTTTCCTCTGGGTTCCATTGGCGTGGTATGTCTTTTCCATCACTTTACTTTGAGTCTGTGTGGCCTCCAAGCTGAAGTGATTCTCTTGAAGGGCAGCACATACTCTTATCCATTCAGTCACTCGATGTCTTTTGATTGGAAAATTTAGTCTATATACATTGAAAGTAGTTATTAATATATATGGGCTTACTCTTGTCATTTTGCTGCTTTCTGGCTGTTTCATAGTTCTTTACTTCCTCTCTTGGTATTGATTATTTTTCCATACTGGTATGTTTGATGCTCATTTTTTTTACCTTTTGCTGACCTACTGTCTATTTTTGTTTTGTGGTTACCATGAGGCTTGCAGAAAGCATCTTCTAGTTATTATAGTGTATTTTAAGGTGATAACATCTTAACTTCTAATGCAAACAAAAGCTCTACATTTTTACACTGCCCTCCCTAAATTTATATGGTTGAAGTCACAAATCTTTTTTATATTGTGTGCCCATTATTGTAGTTACAGTTCTTTTAATATTTTCATCTTTTAATGACACTACACTAGAATTAAAAGTTATTCACCACAATTACAATATCAGAGTATTCTGAATTTAAATATGTATTTACCTTTTCCAGTGAGTTTTATATTCTTATAAGTTTTCATATTACTAGTAACCATCCTTTCATTTCAGCTTGAACAATTCTCCTTGGCATT